TACTGGTACTTCAAAAAATACCATGGTACTACCATGGTAAACATTTAGCCAGCATGTTGCTACTAGCATATATTACTACAGCTTGCTGATTTGATGTTGACTTTTATTTTGAAAACTTACATGACAGAAAGAAATGTCTCGGTTACGTATGGTAACCCTCGTTCCCTGAAGGAGGGAACGGAGACGTCACGTCGGATGACCGACGAAAGTGGGATCTCGCTTAGAGGGACCAATCTACTTCGAGTGTAAACTAAACGACCATAAGTGTTACCATACGTAACTGAGACGTTCCCTTTCAGTCGGTCACTCCCGACTTATACTCACGCTGTGATCAGCAGCAGCTGGATGCAATAATCTCATGCCAATGTGCATTGGCTCATTTAGTTTACACTCGAAGTAGATTGGTCCCTCTAAGCGAGATCCTAATTTCGTCGGTCATCCGACGTGACGTCGGGAGTGACCGACTGAAAGGGAACCCTGGTACCAAATCAAATCCAAGGACAAAACAACTGAATTTTCTTGAACAAAAGCCATTAAATATGAATTGAAACTCCTAATTTATACATTAGCTAGAGTTAGCTTGATAGCTACCTATTTTCAGTCTCCATAGCAGTCAATGTTTCTAGGTGTGACCATAGTATAAGGCCCAAACTCAAGGGTATAATCATGGTCCCATGTCCAAAAACCATTTCCAGTTTCTTCTAAAATATTTAAATAAAAACACCAATCTTTTACGATCACATAACTGCGTGCATCTGAAAACTGTTTGTAGCATCTGAAAATAGGTGCATTTTTTATGACAATGGCATTTTTGTCTGACATGTATTAGAAAAATTATTTTCTGGAAAAGGTCTGAATGCAATTTGTCTTGAAAAAAATGAAAAACTCCTCATCCCTGATGAAATCCAGCTGGACTAAGTGGTAGTTGGTTTAAAACGCTAGTCGTTTTTAGTCATTAGCTGGATTAGCAGAGTTTGAAATGACATGAGGATGAATAAACAACAGAATTGAAATTTTTGGGTGAGGTTTTCTTTTGAAAGCAGAAAAACTCTGGCTAATGTTCTGACAAAGTTTTCTCAAAGTTATCAACAAACATTCGCTGGTAGTAACATTAGCTGGTCCCAAAACATTACATGGAACGTTTCTCTGAAACAAGTTAGTTGTATGTTCGTCGTCTGTTTCTTTTTTTTTATGTTTACCTACTACGTTCAGATGATAATTATGTGTGATTCACATAATGTTTACGAAACGCTAAAATGTTTTAAACGTTAAGAGAAGATTCTAACATTCTCATAAGTTCATGGAAACATTAGCAAAATGTTCTTAGAACATATTTTTGTTAAGGTACAGTTGGTCTGACTTTAAAAGGTTAGTTCAACCAAAAATGAAAATTCTGTTAATTAATATGTTAATCTATTAATTAGTCACCCTCATATCGCTCCAAACCAGTAAGACCTTCGTTCATCGTCGGAACACAAATTCAGCAGTACCACATGCGTGAATGCGCATCAAAGACTGACACAGAAGAGAAGAACTTGTTGAATATAAAGTCGTTATTTTTGTTTGCTTTGCACACAAAAAGTATTCTCGTAGCTTCATAAAATTAAGGTTGAACCAGTGATGTCACATGGACTATTTTAACGTCCTTAATACCTTTCCGGGCCTTGAAAGTGGTAGTTGCATTGCTGTCTATGCAGGGTCAGAAAGCTCTCGGATTTCATCAAAAATATCTTAAGTTGTGTTCAGAAGACAAACAAAGGTCTTACGCGTTTGGAACGACATGAAGATAAGTAATTAATGATAGAATTTTCATTTTTCGGTGAACTATCCCTTTAAGTCCCTTGCTAATTGATATTTGTTTGTTGTTTTCCTTTTCATCTATCTTCCATTCCCACTCTTTACACCTGTCCAGTTCTTGTTTCCATCCCTCTCTAAACCTGGGTCACTTTCTTGCAGTCTCTTCCTGTCCCTGTCTGGCTCCATCTCCAGGGATCTCTCTGCTTCTCTTTCTACATCTTTGTCTTGTCTGCTTCTGTTGCTAAGGCTAAAGGGAGACCGAGAAGAGTTAGCATTCCTCTTGAGTGACTGATCACGTCACAAGTGTGCAGAAATCACACGATACATAGAGAGGTTTGTATTATTTAGATGCTCTAAGGCACTCCATGCACTACATAGGAACATACAAACATAAAATTGCTCGACACTTGCTAGTTTTTTTAGCATGATGCTACACATTATAACATAATAGCATTATGGCGAATAGTCCTAGCTTGACTAGTGATACCAACTGCTTCCATTTGGCACTTACTGACTTCTTCAGGTGGTAGTTTGTTTAGTCTCCTGTGGCGATCTGGCCCACCCCTACATGTTTGTTTGCTTTCAGCCAGCCTGTTCTTCACACCATGCTAGGTGTGAAAAGGAGCCGTTCGTTCGGTTCGTGGCGCGATCAATACAGATGTGAGGATAAAAGCGCTGAGAGGGAATGTTTGAAAACTGGTGAGCCCCGTTCGCGTGAGACAACTGCATTTACACCAGAACGAGTCTCCCCAGGTAACTGTGACCTGTGAAGTTTGAACTTCAATAGGAATTTCATTTTCAATGGGTAATTCTAATAGATAACCATAGCATAATTTTACCTCAAAAAATGCAAAAAGGGGGGAAAATAACTAGCTAATACTGCTAAACTGCTGAAATACTAACTAAAATGTCAGCTTAACTAGAACATAGTTGAGCTATATAGTCAAGTGAACTATTAAGTAAGTGATTTGGAGTTCTACATAGACTACACAAATCACAAATAATGCTCATGAAGTGAATTAGGCTTGCCTCACTGTTGACTGCAGGTTTTAACAATAGCATGTTGCTAAGCTAACAGTTCAATACTCTAATAAGCATAAAAGCAAGAGAGACATTAGAAAGTTACCTTTTGAAAGCCTACGATTTCTCAAAATTATGTGTTGGGTTGTTTGAACTGTAGGACAGACCTTTCGATATGCCCCGCCCCAACTTCCTGTTGCAGTAGGAAACTTGGACCAGTTTGCCCAAGTTGGTAGAACTTCGTCTAGGTATAGAACTCATTGGTTTTAGTAGAAAACAAATGGATATTTGGATCATGGGAAGATAAAACTGTAAACTGTAATACGCACAACATTTGGAACCTAGAAATGTTTTCAAATGAGAGTTGACAAGATTTAGAAGAACTTCAATGCAGGAGGCCCGTTGTGATTGCTCAAATTCTTTAATTAAAGGACCAAATCGTACATTTCAACAAGCAGTCAAATGACAAAAAGACAAAACTGCATATGTACCTATTATCTCTGCTACTTCAGTGTGTTAGAATATTAAAATAAATCCAAACGTGATTTTTTAAAAAATCGAATATGATTGATTAAAAAACAAAAACATGGCAAACCATTGACATGGATGACAATTTCTAAGCAAATAGTAAAACATTTAAATTCTGGAAAGTAAATTTACCAGTATGGCACCATGTTCTTTTTATTTAAAGTGTAAAACTTCTTCTTAAAATATACAAACAGAACACACAACCTGAAAAAAATTATACAATATTTACTCCAAAAAACATCTCTCTAGAAGCCTCCATCTTGTGCCGGAAAAAAGTAAAACCTGGTTAGGTTGTCGTGCTCTTTAAAATAGTGCTTACAACAATATGAAATAACTTTTTTTTTTTTACTATTTACAAACTCCTTAAACATTTAGTAAATGATTGTCATATTGTTTTCTCATATACGTGTTAAAGACATTTGAATCCATAGTTGAGCCAGTGGTACCTCTTATAGGAAATATTTGCAAATACAGTATATATATGTATGTATTTAAAAAAAGAAAAGTAAAAACAAAGAGGCTGGCCTGGAAATTCATTTTCTCTGTGACTTCATAATACTATAACATTTAACATTATTATTCATTAAACACCTTGCAGCACCAAATATTCTTTTTCTTTTTTAACTGCTTTACAATATACTCAATTAATTAAAGGACCAAATCGTACATTTCAACAAGCAGTCAAATGACAAAAAGACAAAACTGCATATGTACCTATTATCTCTGCTACTTCAGTGTGTTAGAATATTAAAATAAATCCAAACGTGATTTTTTAAAAAATCGAATATGATTGATTAAAAAACAAAAACATGGCAAACCATTGACATGGATGACAATTTCTAAGCAAATAGTAAAACATTTAAATTCTGGAAAGTAAATTTACCAGTATGGCACCATGTTCTTTTTATTTAAAGTGTAAAACTTCTTCTTAAAATATACAAACAGAACACACAACTTGAAAAAAATTATACAATATTTACTCCAAAAAACATCTCTCTAGAAGCCTCCATCTTGTGCCGGAAAAAAGTAAAACCTGGTTAGGTTGTCGTGCTCTTTAAAATAGTGCTTACAACAATATGAAATAACTTTTTTTTTTTACTATTTACAAACTCCTTAAACATTTAGTAAATGATTGTCATATTGTTTTCTCATATACGTGTTAAAGACATTTGAATCCATAGTTGAGCCAGTGGTACCTCTTATAGGAAATGTTTGCAAATACAGTATATATATGTATGTATTTAAAAAAAGAAAAGTAAAAACAAAGAGGCTGGCCTGGAAATTCATTTTCTCTGTGACTTCATAATACTATAACATTTAACATTATTATTCATTAAACACCTTGCAGCACCAAATATTCTTTTTCTTTTTTAACTGCTTTACAATATACTCAACACATTCAACAATTTCAGCTTCCAGAATCTCTTTTCATGGACAAAACAAACCTGGTTTTTGAAAAGCATAAGTTCTGGACAACATGGTCTCATGTCAAACACATAATTTGAGTTAACCATATTAAAAATCATAGTAGATTGTACTAGTTCGCTCCTACAAAATGTATGATATTTACTTCAATTGAGACAAATCAAAACAAATCATATGAGTTAACCGTGGTAAAAATTGTAATATATTGTACATGTTGGCATGCACAAAATGTAAAATTTTTACCCCAATTGACTGTTATATTTGTATAAAATGCACGATTCTTACTGTTGTGTCTATTTTGAGACAAATCAACCAATCAATTTAAAGGCAATATAACATGTACAAGTCCACTTGCATGTACATATGCTATGCATTTATCTGATTTACCTGGTTAACTCTTACAAATTATTACGCGTTTGTCACAAGACTGGGTTGCTTCTGGATTCACTATACACATGAACACCTGTATCTAAAAGGTAAGCTGAATTTGATCTAGAATCATCTTTCCAAAATCTAATCACACAAAATGTAATAGCGAGAAGGGTTCAGATCTACAAGTGACATCTACAGAAGAGTCTCATTATTTTTCATACTGCTAAACTGCTTTATTATTGACATCGCACATAAGTATTCTTTCAGTAAACGGAAGTTAACACCCTTGCTTTTTTTCCCATAAATAAATATGCATCCCAGTCTTCTGTTCATATAAACATCAGTCATTTACTGCGTTTCAGGACAATCAGTTTTGTAAGAGCTATATGTTGCATATGCTCCTACGTGATTTACAGACGTTGCATCGCAAGTCACGCAAACAGTTTTTCTAACAATTTTGAATAAAGCCCAATTAATGGAGACTGACATCTCACACACATATTACACACAAACGTATCCCAACAAGCACCTGTTACAGACGACATACAAACTGCATCTGCCAACTGGAGAAATTTCCCTAGTCTCAAAAAGCATTAATGACACTGAGAGAAATAATCAGAATATACTTCATTCATAACTGAATTAATAATATAAATGAGAGTGCGATCACATTATCTTGGGTGGAGTATTCAGCAATTGGTTTGATATTCCAGAGGTCAGTCTGGCTCATTTTAATTTAAATTAAAATTGATTTATTCAAGTGGATAAGCAAATCTAAAAAAATCTTAAATTGTATTTTTTATTATTTTGTCTTTTTTATTATTTATTTGACAGTCTTCTCATGATTGATGGCATCTTTTCGGACGGATCTGTATTGAGTGTGTTCAGAGGTAGAAACCAGTGGTTGGAGGGTCTGGGGGAGGTGGGAGTGGCTCAGGAAGGGGGTGGGGACTGTTGCCAGCTGTGGCCACTGCATTGCCGTTGGGGACCAAACAACTTCCTGTGTAGGCCACACTAGCGGAGTTGAGTATAAAGCCCGTCTCCATCTGGAAACAAACAAACAAACAAATGTTAGAAGTATTTAGCTAAATAGCTAAAAGCTAGCTAAAAGTGAAATTATCTAGTTAAAAATGTATGTATCAATTTCACAGTTACAAATATAAATAGGCCTACATTTTATATAAATATATAAAATATAGATAATAATAATAATTATAACATACAGGATGATTAGCATTGATAATTTTGTCAATGTCAATTAAAGGGGTCATATGATGTTTGTGTATTTGGTGTAATGAAATGTGTTTATGCGGCTTAAGGTAAAAAAAAAACACATTATTTTCCACATACTGTACATTATTGTTTCTCCTCTATGCCCCGCCTTTCTGAAATGCGTAGATTTTTACAAAGCTCATTGGTCTGAAAAGCGAGGTGTGCTGATTGGCCAGCTATCCAGTGCATTGTGATTGGCCGAATACCTTAAGCGTGTGACGGAAATGTTACGCCCCTTACCATATTGTGATGCCGTGTCCCGGCGCGACGAGACAAAAACATTCAAACCCATTATAAACGAGGAATTTGTTGCATCCAGTGGGGACATAATTACGGATTATAATGACTTATACTGTCTTTTTACGCGTTGCGTTGCATCGCGCCGCATAAACATAAAACCACGCTTGCATTTGTGATCGGAGAAATGACAAAGAAAAAGGGCTACACTGCTCAAAACTCGCGTTTGAATCGTCAGTGGCAAATTCTTTAAATATAAAAAACTTACAGTCTGTGAGTCAGAACAGCCGGCACTGTAGTCTACTCCACCAGGATCAGGAAACAGTCCTCCATAAAATGTGCTGCACACATCTGAATATTTGGGTTGAACTGTTCTGCAACAGTGTTGTAAACACAACACTACAACTTAACCACTGATTTCTAGTTGTGTTTTCTTTTGGAAGGCCAAACAAAGTAGTTTCGCTTTCACAACAAAACACATAGCGTCACACACGGCGTAAGGAGCGGCCGGCGGGCTTGCGGCGACCACATGTGACGACCCCGGGCTGGACTCCGCTTTGTCCGCGGTGAAAGCTGATCCGACGACCCACACCGCGAAGTTTATTTATTTCCTCAGCGACCAGCACGGATCAGCTCCAGGCATGACGAAGCAGATATCGTCCTCTTTTGGAAGGCCAAACAAAGTAGTTTCGCTTTCACAATGAAACACACAGCGCCTTCATGACATGGCGGCAGCAACAATACTACAGCGCGAAAAAAAGTCACGCCTTCTTTCTTTGCGTGAACATTTGGGCGGCGTTATGCAAATCTTCCCACATCGTGAGGTAGACATGGGGGGGGCGTGTTAGAACGAGCCGTTTTAGGTAGGCGTGGCTGACTCTTAACTTTGATAAAGAATATCTCTTTGGATTTGAGACTTTAGTCTTTGCAACTTTACAGATCTTCTTTATGCACCAAGAGCTTGTAACACTCCAAAGAGAAAGTTTAAACTAAAAGCTTTAAAAAATGACATCACTTGGCATAATGTCAGTGCAACTCATAATTCATTAACTGTTCACATTTGCAGATGAAAGTAAATCCTTGGCTATATCACAAAGCTCCTATAGTTATAGTATATGAAAGTGTAGTATGCATGAGGTAATGTTGATGCTGGATTGTAGGTCATGGCTGCTCACGCCTGACTGGGCATTTAAGCTCTATTCTCCTTCAACTGAGAGCAGTGACCCTGAACACACACAACTCAGAAAACTCAAAGCCTAGAATGTAGTGCTGGGCTGAATTGTCTCTTTCTTTCTTTCCTCACCTTGCCCTTCCATTGATGATTGCCATTCCAATTTTAGTATTATTTCTAACTGTACCACCCTCATCTCTCTTTTTCTTTCAAAAGTTGCTGCAGCACTTTTTGTAAAAGTCACCACCACAATGCCAAGCAAAAGTCAAAACAGTCCACCCAAAGTATCTATGAAAGTATTTGGGGTCTAGATCTTCAGTCTATTATGTTTCAGTTGTCTGCCAGGTGAACTCTAATTGTACTCAACAAGCCACACTATTTGAGATATCATTGATGCCAGTAGCATAGACAACAAGGGATAAGTTATGCACCAAATTTGTCTTAGCAAGCACTGCTAACCATCTACAGAAAACACAATCCCTACATGTGGAAAGGCAAGATCATCTGGATAAATGAGTGCAGACAGGGGCCCATGGTCTCTGAATATTGCCTGCTGCATGAGCGGTCCTTTTGTGGAGGCTACTCTTCCTCTATCTCTCGTTCATAGCCTCAGGCTCCCATTTCACAATGGACTAGATGCTACAATTGGCTGCCATCAGTATAGCGGAAAAGCCTGTCTGATGCTGGTGGGTTGACCTGGAAGCTTACACTCTTAAGCTGAAGATTACGATCTTAATCACAGTCACTATAATAATGCAACACAGCAGGCAAAGCAAACATCCACCTGTGTGGGGCCCCACAGCAAATCTCTAGAGACTGCCAAGACTTTGTACTGTAGATCTGTCACTGTGCATTGTGCAATCTCAGCACATTAGACGTGACCTATTAGGCCTTGGCCCTTTATACAGAGCACAATTAGATCATAGTGAGCATTTAGGCCAATGGAAAAAAGAAATATTGATGGGGTGGAGTGGGGCGTATCATGTTTTGGAGTCCAGAATATATTTTAAACTACAATATTAGACAATGAAGGGTGGTCAAAAGGGTCCTTATCATTATATGAAATGTTCACCCCAAACATGAAAATTCTGCCATTACTGCACACGCATGTTTCGTGGTACTCTCCTAAACACACGGCGGAGCCTGAAACGGAAGAGAACAAATTCTTGAATAAAGTCATTATTTTTGTATTATTTTTAAGTATCTCAGTAGCTTCATAACATTATGGTTTAAACCCCTGATCACATAGACTATTTTAACAATGTCCTTACTACCTTTCTGGGCCTTGTCAGTTGCGTTGCTGTCGATGCAGGGTCAGAAACCGGGGCGATTTTAGGATTTTCATTTTAGGGGGGCTTAGCCCCCAATGAGGCTATAATAATAATAATAATAATAATAACACAAATTAAATAATTTTTGTTGACTAACAGGGTAGGGTGGTATACTAAACTTATTGCAGTATTCCACTGTATTGCATAGATGTATAACATTTGAGTAATGAATAAGCCAAATACAAGTCTTCCTGATCACAACACACACACACACCCCTGTTTACTGTACAAACACAAAATTTTCTTGAATAAAGTCATTATTTTTGTATTATTTTTAAGTATCTCAGTAGCTTCATAACATTATGGTTTAAACCCCTGATCACATAGACTATTTTAACAATGTCCTTACTACCTTTCTGGGCCTTGTCAGTTGCGTTGCTGTCGATGCAGGGTCAGAAACCGGGGCGATTTTAGGATTTTCATTTTAGGGGGGCTTAGCCCCCAATGAGGCTATAATAATAATAATAATAATAATAACACAAATTAAATAATTTTTGTTGACTAACAGGGTAGGGTGGTATACTAAACTTATTGCAGTATTCAACTGTATTGCATAGATGTATAACATTTGAGTAATGAATAAGCCAAATACAAGTCTTCCTGATCACAACACACACACACACCCCTGTTTACTGTACAAACACAAAATTTTACTGTTTGCATTTCTAGTACAAACCTCTTTCTTTAGGCTATACAAACCTCTTTCTATGCTCAAGTGCTGTCTGTCACTGTCTTTAATCACTATTTTATACTGAAAGTTCAATTTTCAAATGAAAATGGCAACATGATCGTTTTATAAAGTATGCGTTCATATGTGTTAAGGGCTACATTTTCGCTGGAGGAAACTGTGGTGTGATGAGGGGTGAATGGAGCCTAATGAACAAGCCTAATGATTCAATTGACCATTCATAAAGAACCATTTACTTCACTCCTGAATGAATCAGCCATTTGAACGAATCAAATGAATGAATAAATGACTCGATGACTTAATAATTAAGACATTTACCACCACCTACTGGCAGTTTTAGTTTATTATTTAGATGATCATTTTATTAAAGAAATCATTCCATTCTATATTTCCATAGTAAAATTAATCAAATAAATGATTAAAGGTATAGTTCACCCACCCAAAAATGACAACTGTGTCATAATTTACTCACCCTCATGTTCCAAAAGAGTATATGTAATAAATTTTATCAAACAAAATATTTTTTTGCTTAAGCTACTTTTTGTAATGTCTGTTTGATGCTTTATATAACAATGACTTAAAATTATCTTTTTGGAGTAATTTCTCAGCCAAATTTGATGTGCGATTAATTAATCGCCACATAATGTAATTAATTAGATAAAAAATTGTAATCGCTTACTAGCCCTAGTTTAAAGCTTAAGGGCTAAAGCTAAACTTTGCTGGAATGTGGTCCTTCAAGAGTTGGATTGGAGACTCCTGGGTCCCTGCAATACTTCTGGTTTCCCCTTATCCATCCTTGATGGTTCTAGGACAACATTCCTATCAACCAATCAGTTTTTAGGATTAAGGGTTTGACAACATTTTTATCAACAATAATTTCCCATTTGAGATCAGGATTTGAGAGTGTACTTGGGGTTTTGGATAAGGTTTGGCTGTTATATATTTTGTTGATCCAGGAGCTTGTCCAACTTGGTTAAATCACATTGCGCAACTATATCCTTCTTTAATTCTTACCTTACTGTGGGTGGCATCATGTGTCAGTTCCGAGCTATAATCTGTCAACGAGGGGAGGTCTGAAGGTGGGGCTAATCCCAGGATATGCTCCAGAGAGGAGTTCTGTTTGGTATAGGAGCTGTAATAAGTGGGTGCGACCTTTGGCTGCTGCTGCTGTTTCTGATAACCCTGCTGATAGGACGAAGACGAGGCCATGGCTCCCTGAAACTGACCTACATCCCCAGCTGTACTGATGTTCATCGTAAACTCCACCCCAGAATTGTCGGTTATATTGTAATCTACATGTGAACCCACTGTTTGTGTGTGCGTCAACTGGCCATTGGGAAAACATGGTCCATTTGTGACCAACTGGTCTGGGAAGTTGTATCCATGCCACTGGGGATCATTGTAGACCCCGTTTGGAGGGGTATCACTACCCACAGCTGTTTTTTGTTTATACTGGAATGGGTCAAGCAACTGGTTGTGCTGCCATTGCTGTGATTGTGCTTTACTAGTTCCTGTTATCTTGTCACCAAGTTGAGAGTTCAAGTTCGCTTGTGTGTGTTCAGAGACCCAGTGGCCATTGTGTACAGCTGGTACCGGGTTTACCAACAAAGTATCATGCTGGGTAAATGTAGTTGTCTCAGAGTCTGTTGTAGACACCTGAGGTATTGGTGCCTGGATCCAGCTCTCAGTTTTGTGGCAAACTGACTGGCCATTGAGATGTTGCTGCATACGCTGTGAGAGATGAACTATGGGTGTTATCTGTTTTTGTGGCCAGAAAGGTACATGAGGATCAGGCATGGATGAAGTAATCTGAGAAGCTGACTCAGAAGCAGAACATGGCTCAGGGGGTTCAACAGAATCTAATGCCATGGCAGGGTTTTGAGCATCCGTCGAGTCCTCGATCCGATTCTCCAGTGAATCTTGGACGTAGGAAAGGATTTCGTTGTTGGTGAGAAGATCGTTCAGAGATGGGACGTAATCCGCTTCCATCTCTACCTGGATCATCCTCTCATCCAGAAGCAGCAATTCTAGGTCCTCTGCATTGAGTCCAAGGTTTTCCAGGGCAATGAATAGCTCACTGTTGGAGCAGCTTTCCTCATTTTCCAGGGACAGAGAGTCTAATGTTGCTAGTAGTGGGTCAAAACTTGATGGCTCCTGTTTGGAAACTGCAGTTACACCATTCTGCGCTGGATTCCAACTTTCATTTTCCACAGAAGAAGAGAAGGTATTAGTCTCTACTTGTTCACTGAAGAGGCTACTGTGGAATGACATTCTAGGCTCCATAGCAGGTTGGCAAACATAAACAGACTCGTCTTGTCTCATCATGGCTCCCAGCAGAGAACTTGGGTCCAGATCATCCTTTGAACTTTTGTCTATCTTGCTCTTTTTGGTTTTGTTGTTCTTGCTTTTGCCCTGAAGGGTGTCAGGGAAGCCTGGCATGGGGTAGCTGATTTGGTACAGCAGAGCTTCTCCAGTAGCAAAGGTGAATGGAAGATGCATAGATCGCTTCCTCAAATGCTCTCCGCCCTCTTCTTCTCTGAATAAATGGATAAAAACCTTGTCAGTGGATATGTAAGGACTTTCATCAAAATCTTGCTAATTTGCCATGCTATTTAACAGTTAGCATGCTAATAAACTAAATCTATATTTTGTAAATTGTTAGTGCAGAAATATAAATGAATATTAGCCTTAATATGCTTACACAAGCGGCCTCTGGGTGGCAATGATGTAGTCAGGCTTGCCATTTTTGTAGACGAGTCTAGCGTTAGCTTGTACCCATTTCCAGCGGTTGTCCTTTGTAAGCAGTCTAAACACAGTCAGGCCGCTTTCTCCAGTCTTGATCACTGCAATAGACAGTGCAACAGTTTGTAAACCCAGTTATTAGTTGAAATATACAGACCAGATTTTTCTGCCTTGTACCTTTTTTCTGCTATAGGCTGTTGGCTCCATATTGAATTACTGATTTTACTGGATTTACTGGCTCTAGTTCTACTCCTAACGTCAAGGATTTATCCAATCTCCTCCATAATCTATGGGATTATAGGAAAATATTCCTTCTCCTGTCTCTTGCTGTCTGTCTGTCTGTAAAATCTCTCTTTCTCCCCTTCTTGCCATAGACCACCATAAAAAAAATATGAATTCACCAAATCCATTCAAGTCCTACCCATACAATTGGTATTATCAGTCGATTTCACTTCCTGTCATAACATCTATGGATTATCTCCCGTGAACCACACTGAATAAGAGTACTGTCATTGTTCAAGCATTTGCCCAAGAGCACAGTGCTCATGTCTTTTAGTGTCACTAGTTTATTTTAGAAACCATGCCTTTGGCAATAATGTCAGCATGCATCAGCAGAAAGACAGCTCATAGCTATTTCTTAATCTTCTCGTAATTCAGTCAATCATATTATTAGTTATGTAGCATCTCAAAAACAACTTCTTTAGCTGGACTTTTTTAAACAGTACAACTCCAAAATGACAAATCTGAAGAAATAGGAAAACTCTTACTCCTGACATGGTTCTCAGCACAATACAGCATATCAGCTGCATGGATGAACTGGTACCCAGAACCTCGAACTCGCAACTCTGCCTCGGTGTAGCCAAGAACGATTTTACCCCTAAAACACAGGCAAAATCAACATCAGTGATTCTTACACCATTTTCTATTGTACTTATGGATATATAAACATATGTATACAGTGCATGTTACAACTCTTTCAAAAGAAATGTCCATCATTACTTAGCATCACAGGCCATAGGGGTGAAGTCCAACTTGTGTTTGGTTCTGAAAATCATGTTCTTGGTTCGGATCTCCATTATGGAAGGAGGCTGTAGGGGTGTCGCTATGGCAAACAGGGCGAGCTGGGGCGGCATTTGGCCTCCGTCATCCAGTCGCCTGTTCTGCCCATGCAGGAATTTCAGACGTCCTTGAAGATTCAGGGCCTTGATGGGGCATAAATAAAAATAAACATTGGAATAGCTCCTATACAAAAAAAGCATAACTCTGGAATTTAGTTTAAATTTGGAATTTAAAAACATCAACTTCAAACTACACAAAATCTAATAATAGAATGTTTCAAATGGTTGCAACTACAACAAAAAAAGCAAATAAACAAGAATAATACAATTATGACATATAGAACAAACAAAAAATCATGTCATAATCCATTTGCATGAAGGACGTACATAACCGACACACGTAATATATGTACATACACAGCTGGAGCTGATGATTTTGTTGGCGTGCCCTTGGCGAACCACATAATTTGTCTCTGACTCATTGTGGGCAATAGAGCTCAATCCAGGTCATCTATAAATGAAGGCTATGACCTGTCCAGAATGTGTCATATCTGAATGTTTGCTTGTTTGTGATTGGTTAGTCAAACTTAGATCATCTGTTCTGACTGGTGGAGATTACAACATCTAAAAGTGAGTGTTTTATGTATGTTAGCCATGATTAATTTAGTGTCACTTATGAATATGCACAAACATACAACTTCAATACACATTTTGTGGCTGGAAAGCTCTCTTGACAACCTATTTGTTTTAATCGTTTCATTTCTGGGTTATCTGTTGATTTTGTGTAATGCCTGATTTAAAATAGTTCTGCTTATGTAAGGCTACACAACAAGTGTCAGTTTTCACATACACAAACAGAAAACATTTGTCAAACTGTATTTCATTTGGCGCAAATAAAAACGAAGCTTTCAGCATGACTTTCCGAGTTGGGGGGCGTGTCAATTAAATATTCACAGAGGAAGCTAATTGGCCATAATTATGTTTTCATTGTGAACCTCCCAAGAGAACTTAATGGTTGCATTCAAAAATGCCAAGAGGACAGCAAACAAAAAATACTCAATGGAAAAGAGTTTGAAGTTGCTCATATTTTTAACTCTCATATTTTTAATTTCTCTGAGCACATGGGGAGACCCCTGTTAGCGGTCCGCTACTGACAAGCTAAGTGTAGTCATGCTATTCTTGAGGGAGATGGATTTGGTAAAGATGGAGTGGAGGGGAAAGAAAGTAAAAAAGAGAGACTGAAGAAATAAAGGGCAAGAGTACAGAGCTTTGCACGCATACGTATCTCTTCACTACTGTGTTGCCAAGATTAGCAAAGAAAGAGACAGCTGTCTGGCTGAAGAATGAATAGGAAAAATATTTTTGGAATAAAGACAGCTGAAGGAGTTGGTGGTCACTATTGTGCCTCATACTGTAGCTAAAGCCTGGCTTTCTTCAAATTAGCTTTAATTTATGCTAACAAGAACCGGTTCTCACTATTTTGCTCTATTTCTTCTAGGACAAATTAAAACCTGTTCCCCATGACCTTACTGCTCCTTTAAGACGGATTACAGAGGTGTTCCAACAATTCAGATCTCTGTGGATGCCAGAGGCGCAACACAAAGTCAGCTGCACTAACCTAGATGCAAACTCACTCTGTAATCTGGAACATCGGGGCTTAGAGACTTTGAATAGCAAGATATTTTCCATCATACTAATATTAAATTCCAAGAGGACTTCTAAATCAGTCGAAGTACGACGTTCCTGTGTAGGTTTTGAGCGTTTTAGCTGTTTGACACTGACCAGGAATCCTGAAGAATTGTCTAGGAGGCATCGGAAACGACAAACAAAAGTTCTCTCCAGGAAAGAGGAGTTCTCGGGAGGCAGCTGGTCAGGGTTGCACGTCACCAGCGACATACTTGGGGCAGGATCTCCATCTAAGAGAAACAAAAAAGAACTTGAGACTCTGTAGCATGTCTAGACTTTTTCAACCGGGGTTCATCATTATCCACTAACCACCGTTTCTGTTTTTATCCTTTCTGTTTGCTGTTATCCTTAATTAAAATGGACGTTTTAGTGACCATAACATTTATTTTGCAACTGCAGGAGCTTCCACTAAAGGTCAAACCACCCTCCTCCTCTCATTTTTTCCAAAAAAAAAAAAAAAAAGGATCTCTCTCTCCTAATTTGAGTGCTGTAAACTATTAATTTGAAGTGCTTTGGGTCTTTTATCATGAATTTGTTATGAATAATCATATCCTTTGGTTTGTTCTTACTAAAAAGTCAATGAAACAAAGTACCTTTTATTTTTAAAGCATGTAATTCATCAGTGTATCAAGATATCGACACTACCACATGGTTATTTAATAAAGAAACACTTTTTTGCTAAATTTCAAGGCAAAAATAACCCAATATAGTGGTACCATGATATAAAATTATATATTTCCTGACCTTGTGGGGATTCTTCTGTCTGCGTGCTGGTTGGAGGCGGGTTCAAGGCCCAGTGCAAGTTGTGTTTGAAGGCCTGCTGGTCTTCAGTATGAATGAGTTCGAACATATTTTGATGCATCACATCTGTCTGGGAGACCGAGGGACAAATGAAGAGGAACGTTGTGAGAAAATTAAGTTAAAATAAATCAAAATTAAAATAAAGGATGAATCACTTTATGGGTTTAAAATGTTTTAGAACCAACTACAAATGTATAAACTACCATTCAAAAGTTTAGGGTCTGTAAGATGCTTTAATATTTTTGAAATGCTCACCAAGGCTGCATTTATTTAATCAAAAATACAGTAAAACAGTAATATTGTAAAATATTATTACAAATTAAAATGACTGATTTCTGTTTCATTATATTTCAAAATGTAATTTATTTCTGTGAAGCAAAGCTGAATCATCATTACTACATTCAGCATCATTACTCAAGTCTTAAGTGTCACATGATCCTTCAGAAAGCATTCTAATAAGCTGATTTTGTGCTTAGGAAACATTAGGAAACAGTTGTACTGATTAATATTTTTGTTGAAATTATGATATAATTTTTTAGGATTTTTTGATGAATAGAAATATAATGCATATTTGCTGAAAGAAAGTATAAATTTCTTTAAAAAAATGGTAGTATATGAATATAGAATATACATAGTTCTGAATTTTTTTTTTAACTTGTATGTAAATACTGTCATATTTTTCATCAATTTTCTTTTCAATTATAAATTTTTTTACAATGTATTCACTGAAAAATCCCAAGTCTGACAGCATAAACTTTGACCTGCCATCAAACTCCCTCTTTTCTCGTCTAAACACGTTAAACCGAACAAAAAGAGGACATCGTAAGCACATAGAATAAACAAATATAGTGACGTCTCAGTTGGATAATTCATAAGTAAATTATGATGAATTGGATTACGCCGTGCCAGACTGAATCTCAGAGTAAAGCCTATTTGATTAAGCGCATTCAATTTCTACCGCATTCAAACTGTTGCTCGAGAGATACACTGCAGTATTAATCAGTATTAGGCAGATCTGATGAGCATTTATGTGTGTGTGTGTGTGTGCACTAAGAATAGAGGTGAGAAGTATGGAATGATTATCCGACAGCTGAGTCTGACGTAATATTGATTCTGGGAAAGTGTACGTACAGGGCATACTTATCAATCAGATTAAAAGTAATGCATATTTGCTGAAAGAAAGTATAAATTTCTTTAAAAAAATGGTAGTATATGAATATAGAATATACATAGTTCTGAATTTTTTTTAACTTGTATGTAAATACTGTCATATTTTTCATCAATTTTCTTTTCAATTATAATTTTTTTTACAATGTATTCACTGAAAAATCCCAAGTCTGACAGCATAAACTTTGACCTGCCTTCAAACTTCCTCTTTTCTCGTCTAAACACGTTAAACCGAACAAAAAGAGGACATCGTAAGCACATAGAATAAACAAATATAGTGACGTCTCAGTTGGATAATTCATAAGTAAATTATGATGAATTGGATTACGCCGTGCCAGACTGAATCTCAGAGTAAAGCCTATTTGATTAAGCGCATTCAATTTCTACCGCATTCAAACTGTTGCTCGAGAGATACACTGCAGTATTAATCAGTATTAGGCAGATCTGATGAGCATTTATGTGTGTGTGTGTGTGTGCACTAAGAATAGAGGTGAGAAGTATGGAATGATTATCCGACAGCTGAGTCTGACGTAATATTGATTCTGGGAAAGTGTACGTACAGGGCATACTTATCAATCAGATTAAAACTGTGTCCTGATCGCTGAAAACTCATTACGTCATGCCTGGTTTGCTGCATAATTTTACCGCATAAGTCGCCCTACTACAAAATAGCCTATTTGCATCAAGAGCAATGTGACAAGTAGCATTTTTTTTTTACACTTTTTAAAAGATGAACGTGTTGAAACAAAATTTTCCAAAATGTTTAATTCCAGTCTGAGTATGTTTAGTGAGGAAATATATAGCAACATCCAATCTCATAATTCATATCCCAAAGATAGTGACTGTAATTCAGCTGTATATTGGATTAGTATTAGAACAGTGGCTATATGATACATATGTGTTTATGTAAGAGACTGTTGAGAAGGATAATTACCTGGTTGAATCCTAAGTAATCCTGGATGGTGTGAGAACAGTAGAAAATTATCCCTTCAGCGGTGACCACCAACACAAAGCCATTGAGAGCCTGTGACCATAAACAATTGAACAAACAAACTAAAAGTATTAGTTTATTGGTCATATAGAAGGTTTTTTCTTGAAATTCCAAATTTATAACTCGCAATTTTGACTTTTTCCCTCAGAATTTTAAAATTACATCTCGCAATTCTGTCTTTTTTTTCTTTAGTTTACATATTGCAATTCTCTAAAAAAGTCAGAATTGTAAGATATAAACCCAGAATTCTGACTTTTTCCAAGTTTAGATCTCGCAGTTATTTTTCCCCTCAGAATTCTAAAATTACATCTCTCAATTCTGACTTTTCTGTCTTCCATAGTTGATTGAAAACCTGCTCTTATTCTCTATTTGCTTTTTAAAGAACTCCAAACTTACTTGACAAGTACAGTTTTCTTTTCTGTGTTTATGATTTCCTATTAAAACAGGAAGTTGGGGCAGAGCATATCAACCATTTTTTTTTTTGAGAAATGTACAATAGTCATTTGTTTAAGTTCCAGTCATAAACTTATGGAAGCCCGTTTCCGCCACTAAATACAAAATAAAAGAGAATACTTTTACCTCTTATTTTACCCTTCCTTTATAATACATGAGAGCTCTATCTGTGCATTATTCATGCCTAAGTGTCTGAAACGAGAACAAGGCTGGGCAGAAATAGCCTCTCCTCTTTTCTCCTCCTCTCCTCCTCGAGGACATCGCTTTAAATTACTCTTTATAACATACTTATGGCACATGGACACCATATAAACTCTCACACACACACACACACATGTGTTTGTCCTTCTGACCTGTAGTAGGAGCTCTCCCTCATGCAGCCAGCCGTCAACCAATCCTGTTGCTTTAATGTTGTCACGATTACTGTTGTTTGCCGACAAACCATTGGAGCTGTGGTTTTTCAGAGCGACTGTTGAAAGAAAAAGAGAAAGAAAAATGACATTATGTATGTTGTACAACTATAATTAGTAGTTTTTAAGTGAAGCATTACTATTACTACTGTATTTGAACAAACCACTTGCAGAGTTGAAAATGTTCAACTTATGCCACAAGCAATGGCAGCGGCGTGAAGCATCAGACCCACAATTCAGTTTGCCAACGCATGACGTCACCCATTCAAAGTAAATGAGAAGTGTTAACGTGTGAATGCACCATTATAGCTCAACTTTGTCTCAGGATGTTTCTACCAAAATTCATTATGGGAAATTCAAACAGACACAAATTAGACATTTGCTGACATTCAATAAGAGTTCAGAAATTAATTAACATGGTTAGCATATGGATAGTTCAACCAAAAATAAAAATTCTGTCATTAATTATTCACCCTCATGTTGTTCTAAACCTGTAGGACCTTCATTCATCTTCGGAAAATAAATTAAGATATTTTTGATGAAATCCGAGAGCTTTCTGACCCTACATAAACAGCAACGCAACTGACAAGTTCAAGGACCAGAAAGGTACAGTAGTAAGGACATTGTTAAAATAGTCCATGTGACATCAGTGGTTCAACCGTAATTTTATGAAGCTACGAGAATATTGTGTGCAAAGAAAACAAAAATAACTTTATTAAACTATTTCTTCTCTTCCATGTTGCGTTGCTGTTTATGTAGGGTCAGAAAGCTCTCGGATTTCATCAAAAATATCTTAATTTGTTTTCCGAAGATGAACAAAGGTCTTACGGGTTTGGAATGAGGGTGAGTAATTAATAACAATTTTCATTTTTGGGTAAACTATCCCTTTAAGTGGTCAAATCTTTGTAGTTATATTGAGATCTCTGACTTTATTACATATTTTACAGAAACTAATTAGAGTTTGAGACATTGTTGAGAAGAAACACCAAAATCAAACCAAACCAAAGAATCAAACCAAAGTCTCTGTTAGTTCTTCAGTTAAAATACAGTTGAAAATGCAGTTTTCAAACAGGTTTCCCACACACTCTGCCACTGGTCAGGAAGACAGATAGCCCCGCCCCAAACTCATGCCATTGGCTGAGCTACTGTTGCCGTGCCAGGCTGGTCGGAATTTTTAAACAAACAGCAATGTTTTGATAGCGCCACAGAAACACAGTGTTTTAAGGATCTCAACCTACAAATAGGTAATTACTAAAATAGGTATAAAAAAGTATTTTATCATCTAAAAATCACTTCAAATGTAATTTAAGGTACTTCATACTTTCTTCTACTTGGTATTCAAAACGCGCTCTAAAAATGAGTCTGTGCTTTTTTCGTCTTGGCCAGTAATGGATTTGCTCTGTGTGGCCCTCTCTCAGGACAAGACAAACTCTGTTGAGCATTAGAGGAGGAACTGACCTACAAACGACAGGGGAAATGGAGAGAGACAGGCCAGGCGAACAGGGATATGAAAAGCTTTTTTACTGACAGAGAGAAAGAGAGACAGAAAGAGAGTGAGACGGAAAAGGAAAAGAGGAAGCACTTTTCACTTGTGAGAACATACGTGGAAAACGCATTTGGGCACGGTGAGAGAAAGGTCGACATATGCAATGTGTCATATTTTATTAGCATCTTGTAGCTGATATTAAAACTGTGAAGTGCTCAGCACAGTTTCGAACATTTGTTTGTTGTCATCATCCAAAAAGGTCCACAATAGCTGAACTACTATTTGCGCCAATTATTTCCACAACCATAAACTCACTGAAGCAAATGCCTCTAGATGTCATAAAAACTAGCATTTGATGATTATATGTAGCTCCTTTTATTCTCCTTCGGAAACCTCTGACCCTTTTAATAGTCCTGCTGCGTGACCTATCATGACCCCTGACCACTGTCGAGACATGATGCAATGAGGGACAAAGAGGTTAATGTTATTCTTTGAGACATGAGGACACAGTCAAGAAGAAAAATTTTATGTTAAGACTTTTTTCATAGAATACATCTTGGATTAAGTTTTCTTAAGCCTATTTGCAATTTTTTGTTTTATAATTTAGATATTTAATTACAATACATTTCAAATGTTTAATTAAGTTCTGTCATTAATGCACATAAATGCACATCGCAGAGCTTGTGGAAGATGAGCATTTGTGGTTAAAAGTCTATAAATATAATTTTTTTTTAAGAAAATGACCAATCGTTTCGCTAAATAAGACACTTATTTCTCGACTGGGATTATGTAGAGCCCTTTCAAGCTGCATTGAAACTGCAATTTGGACCTTAAACCCATTGAGCACCATTGAAGTCCACTATATGGAGAAAATCCTGGAATGTTTTCCTCAAAAACTTAAATTTTTTTTGTGACTGAAGAAAGAAAGACATGAACATCTTGGATGACATGGCGGTGAGTAAATTATCAGGAAATCTTTATTCTGGAAGTGAACTTCTCCTTTAATTACTCACCCTCATGTCGTTCCAAACCCGTAAGACCTTTGTTCATCATCGGAACATAACTTTATTCAACAATTCTTCTCCTCCCCATCCCGTCTGCCGCAGCATTGTGGAGAGTATCACGATGCATGCGCATGCTTTCCTCTGCATGTAAACAACGCATGCGCATGCTGCTGCTAACGTTGAACACGCATTGTTTACATGCACAAAAAGTAAAAGAACAAAAGTACAAAAAGTATTCTCGTAGTTTCATAAAATTATGGTTGAACCACTGATGTCACATGGACTATTTTAATGATGTCCTTGCTACCTTTTTGGGTCTTGAACATGGTAGTTGCATTGCTGTCTATGGATTCTCGGATTTCATCAAGAATATCTTAATTTGTGTTTCAAGGATGAACGAAGGTCTTATGGGTTTGGAACGACATTAGGGTGAGTAATTAATGACAGAATTTTCATTTTTGGGTGAACTATCCTTTTAACATTTTGCCAAGGCAGCCATTTTGACCTAGTGCAATTGAATGTTCACAAGCAATCTTGTTCTCAGGTACGGAAGTTCTAAGCGGCCATGCATTATTATTTTTTTCCTTCTTGTTTTCTCGTTATAACGACTTATTTTCTCTATAACGAGAAAATTAAGTCGTTATAACGAGAAAACAACTCTCGTTATGTCGATATAACGAGAAAATAAGTCGTTATAACGAGAAAACAACTCTCGTTATGTCGATATAACGAGAAAATAAGTCGTTATAACGAGAAAACAAGGAGGAAAAAAAATAATAATGCATGGCCGCTTAGAACTTCCGTACTCAGGGCATAAGCACACTTACCTATATAAAGTAGCTACCTGTGAGTCAAGCAAATGTTTTTAGCATAGCATATTTGAGAAGATTAGGCTTTGTTATGAAATAGCAAGCATAGCAGCAGCTAGCGCTGAAAATAGGAGGCTAAGAGCATTTCAGTGCCCCTGACAATCCTTCTTATATACTTCAAAGAGAGACGGGATGTTTAAGGCCCCTTTCCCATGATCTTTAGCTCCTGTCTCATAGAGCTGGAGACAAAGGGTGAAGGGCCACGGCAAAACTGAGACCCAACTCTGCACGCAACTACATATGCATGTATGCCAATGACACTGCGTCACATACATACACAAATGAGCAACAAAAACATGAAAGAACCCAAAATCAAAATAATAACAATAATAATAAAAAGTGAAGCAAAAATCGTAAATAAAAACAAAGCATAATAATACATAAAATAAATGATAAATAAAAATATAATAATTAAAAATATTTAAAAAGTTATCTTTTTATACAAAATGTTTAATATATATCCTTAGCATATTTATAAGACAATACATATTCTTGAAATGGTCTTAAAGGCTTTATTTTCTTAAAGGCATTCTTAATGTTCGCTGTAAGTGCTTGAAATTAATATAGCCGAGTGTCATTGTACATCAGGTGACAGATGAGTTAGTGAAATGAGTTATGTTTCCAGGCTTGTCCGCATGCTCGTGCTGTGGGGTTTTTACTGTGTCTATGTAGCTGTGCCGTTGTGGGTCACTGCACATCGCACCCCTGAGCGTGCAGCATCTCTGGGGACGGAGGCTCTGGAAAACCTGCGCTAAATGTTTTGGCTTGATTTCTTGTGGGTTTACAGGTGGAGTCAAAACAGTTGAAAAGGAAATATAAATCAAGTAATTCAAATGTCAGCATTACGTTATTAATAGGAAAACAGAAGAGATACAATTTTAACAAATAAATATTTAAATATTATATTACTAAAAATTTGAACAAATGCTATTTTTAATAAAAAAATTAAAAATAAAAATAAGTAAAAAAATATATAGATATAAGTTATTGGATTAGATATAGATATATTAAACATGATTAACAAATAATTATGTGTGTGTGTGTATATATATATAGATAGAAAGACAGACAGACAGATAGATAGATAGATAGATAGATAGATAGATAGATAGATAGATAGATAGATAGATAGATAGATAGATAGATAATCAAATAAGCAAATAAAGATATAGATAGATCACTTTGATTATCTATCTATCTATCTATCTATCTATCTATCTATCTATCTATCTATCTATCATCTGACTATCTATCTATCTATCTATCTATCTATCTATCTATCTATCTATCTATCTATCTATCTATCTATCTATCTATCTATCTATCATCTGACTATCTATCTATCTATCTATCTATCTAT